GATAAAGTGTCTCTGTAAGAGTCCAGTTTAATTATTTGTGTGTATATACTATCATAATAAAGCGTAAACACAGACTTCTTTGTTGCCTAAGATGTCAGTAATTACAGCATATTTTTGAATAATTCTTTTTTTAATAAAAAGCCCTACACTTACGTCACGCTTTAGGCTATATATTTTCACGTCATTAAACTAAGGGGTAAATATTTTGGATAAAAACCCTAATTTTGGAACGAGACCATAAGTTGCTGCCAACATCAAGGAAGCTAGATTGCCAAGGTTTGTCATGTCATGTCATTTTGACATTTGCTATTGATAATTTCATGCTGATGAAGCCGCACGGGAACAGCTATAAGTAATATTTGTAACTAACTGTTGCTCGCAACTTCGTCACTTGGAATTAAATTTGCCTATGTTACTCAGTGATAACAGAGCTTCTTAATGATGTAGGAATTATTGAAATCGGCCCAGTTTTTGAGTTATTTCAATACATACAAAAATACAAAAACGCAAATCTTTTCTCTTTATAATACTCATATATATAACACATACGGACTAAAGAACTAATATACTTAGTCTATGAATTCATATAGCCCAGAGATGTAGGCTATGATAACTCCATTTGGCAATGTTATATCTGCGTTTTTTCTACCCTACTTCGCTAAATTAAATTTGATAATCTGCCCGACTGATAAGGGTAATATTATACGAATATAAAAACAAATTCATACTGACGAACACTATTTACCATTTGAGGTCACCCAGGGCGATGGACAGAAAGGGATCTACGAATTAAACAGTCTGAAATTATCCCTATTTCAACTCCACACACACAAAACTGGTAAAAAAGGGGACATAAAATTCTCGCCCAGGGCGCTAGTTAACCCATACTTAATTTTAAAGTGTGGTCTTGTTCCTTAAAAGTCAAAGATCGCCTTACATGTATTGCAGTTTACCGTCGCATCTTTAATACTATGCTTACTGCTTGAAGCAATCAGTTTTAACAGTGGTATAGCCCGCTTTAACATCTTCGCACGAACGGGACAGTTCCCCTGGTGCAAAACCACAACCACACAGAAGGTAGGCGTGAAGTGAAAGCAATTTCGCGAACAGTCTGATAAGTGTAGTGCCGGAGGCCCAACTTTAGTCCCTTGTGAAACGTGGATTTGACGCTGGAGGAGACGCATAGCAAGAGGAAATATCTTCTTTATGTGCGTTTCCTCTGTCGGTTAAGGGTAGACAATGCACCCGCTGTTGCGAATGTTTATGGGCAGCAGTCGTTTGCCACCTTATTGTATAAAAAAGCACGTGTATGTCGGCCTTTCTACATATATCATTCCAAATTGTCAAAGGTGATGAAATAAACTAATTATGGCCAACAACACGTTACGATTTCCAATTACTTTATTTTAACATAATTGGCTGCGAAGTGAACAGTGTCATAAAAATGTATAAACGCTTATATAAATAGTACCATAATAAACAACGTAATTTATATGCGAAGATGAAATTCGAGACGATAGTCAATTTATATGAGAGGCTATCAATAAATAAACGGCATACAATGATGTGGGAAAATTCAATTTATTTTAAACGATTTAATAAGCTTAGAGCAAAGATTTTAACATTTATTTTACTCTTTACAAACATAAATGCGAAAGTTTAGATTTTTTTATAAAAACATTAGTAGATTTTTTTACTAATTCACTAACATTGTTAATTTACTAATATTTCCTTTAACCATTCCAACTAAGCTCTTGGCTTGTGCTAGGATAAGGTTCACGACAGTCGACTGGCGGGATTCAAACCCTCGACCTCATCGGTAATCCGTACCCCAAACCATTAGGCTATTGGCGTACATAGATGGATGTTTGTGATTATTTCCAGAACAAGAGTTTGTAAATAAAATTTGTCACAGATGTAGAATATATATAAGTAACTAAGTACAAACTTTAAACAAATTAATTATAGCGTTTTTTGTGAGTTCTTAAACTATAGATTATTTTTGTTAAAATTTAGGTAGAGTCGTAACATAAGTTTTGATCTGTAAAAAACTAAAAATATTTGTGTAGAAAATTTAACGAAATTAATGCAATTTTAATCGAATCTTATTTTCAGGCCTTTGCCCTTTTAGTCGTATTGGTATAATACAAGTATCCTAAAAAGGCTTCTTTCACAACCGTGATGTAAAACTCGTACGAAAGTATTGCCCTCCTTATCATATTCTTTGGAAAGATAGAGACAGAAGTTAAACGATAAATTCCTTTCAAGCTTACAGTCACGCTCTTCAAGATGTTGTCATTTAATCCAGCAAGATGACAAAAAGATAAGATTGATGACTTTAATACAGGGGGGCCTTCTTGACCCCCCTTTTTTGTCATGGGAGGGGGGAAGCCTCAAAAGATTTTGTCCCTGCAGATTTATGAAAGCTTTGTAAATTGATTATTATTTTTTCAACTAGCTGTTCCCGTGCGATTTCATCCGCTTAAAATTATTTTATTGTTTACATGTGTGAAATTGTCACTTGCAAATGTCAAAATGACATGACATGACAAAATTTGGCAATCTTGCTTCCTTGATGTTGGCAGCAACTTAATGGTCTCTTTCCCACATTAGGGTTTTTATCCAAAATACTTACCCCCTAAGTTTAATGGCGTGAAAATATATAGCCTAAAGCGTGTCGTAACTGTAGGGCTTTTTATTAAAAAAAGAATGATTCAAAAATGTGGTGTAATTGCTGACATCTTAGGCAACAAAGAAGTGTGTGTTTACGCTTTATTATAATAGTATAGATTACGTGAACATGTAATGAATCGTTTGATTTGTTGGTAATGATTTAATGATCGTAGAATAAATTTCTCAGAAAGAAACTTGTTCTGTACTTCCACATACTTATATGGCTGTCTTAGTAAAAATGTTAATAAATGTAAGTTGTAAAAAATTATTGGTCTGGGAAATGTAACATGACTTTCTTTTGAAATCCAACGGCGTGCAACTGAACTATCGCACAACTGTTTAGTCTCGCTTTGATTCCTGTGAGAGTTGTTGAATTGGCTGCGAAACAATCGACAATCGCACAACGTTGAGGGCACGTTCTTATTATAGAGTAAAATGACTTATCATGAATCTTAGTATCTCTGTCTTTAATTCCAAGAATGAAATATGCTTGTAAAATTACATTGTCATTTTAAAATTCTTTAATATCTTAGATGAAAACTAAGAAATATGACTATGGTTTCATTGTCATCATCAACTCCCCTGCCTTATCCTCCTCCCGTAGGGTTGTCGCACTGGGTTTCCGTCCTCCAAATAGCTCTATCATCCGTCATCTCAGTCATAATTCCCTTCTTGATCATGTCACCTTTCAATCCATCCGTCTCTTTCTAGGTCTACCTCTACCGTTTATAACCGACTATCTTACTAATATCATAAATGCCAAAGTTTAGATGGATGGATGGATGGATAGATGGATGTTTGTTAGAGTTTGTAGCTTAAACGGCTGAAGGGATATCGATGAAATTTGGTATAGATGTAGAGGACAGTCTGGAAGAACACATAGGCTGCTCACTTTTGTTTCTTTTATTCCGCCCGGACGAAGTCGCTGGCAAAAGCTAGTGGTTTATAAATGAACATACAAATCGATGGCTTTAAATATTTAGGTTTTTGCCACATTTTATTTGTAGTTTTTTTGTGGCAAGAAAAGTCCTATTTATTTATTTAAATCTACGACTATAAGTTACTTGACCATCTCAAATTAAATAAAATACTTTTGTATATCTATTAAAAAACAAAAATAAACGATCTTTGATATTAAGATAATACAACCGACATTGTATAACAAATAAATTTCAACTGGAAATTTAAGATAAATTGTATTTCAACTTGTACTGCCAGTTGCGGACTCATTGAATATTAAACAAGCGATCTTAATGAGAAGCAATGCCAGACGTCATTGTTCATTTAAACAATTCCAAAGAGAAATAGAAAATACAATAAATTATTACAAAATATTGGAGTATTGTTAACCTGTATCAGGAGTAACTTGGTTAGACCCAAGATCTAACCAAATTTTTACTGGTAAATTAACCCAATAAATACTTGTTGAAAACTAAAATAAAACATGATTCAGTAATAATTATTTACTACCAGCTTTCGTCCTCGACTCCGTCCGCATGGAATTAAAAAACTTAGTAAGTAACCTGTGAACACTCCAGGTTATATAGATTTGTGCCAAATTTCATCGACATTCTAACAGAAGTTTAGACTACAAACTCTAACACACATCTAAACATCAATGTAAACTTTTGTATTTATAATATTAGTGTTATATATGTACTCCACGTATTATCGACCGCTTAGCCACTCTTGCTTTAGTTAATATATCTTTGAATCTCAACATAATTCATTCTTATATCTCGGTAATGATGATAACCATTTGATGATGAAGATTCCATCACGATTCAATCTCCTCTACTGCTACGTGAATAGCGTCATCATTTCGACCGCCAGGTTAATCTATCACGTCGTCACTCCCGTCTTAATCATATCACACTTCACCATCCATCCATCTCTTCCTAGGTCTAATGTACCCTTCCATATTCAAATTTAAAGTTCTTATCACTTGCAAATCTTCCCTCAACTTAACGTAACACTTTGCTTAATTTCTCAACCACTAACGCTACTTAAAAATTTCCTTTTATATATATTCAATGTTGAAATTCTAAAAGGGATGATTTAGTTATGTTTTATTGAAAAATCTTTATTAAAAATCATTATTTTAAAATGTATTTAATTAATCCCAGATAATTAAATGTTAAAGAAATATAAATTAAAACTTAAATTTAACATACTAAAAACATTTCATTACAAAATGAAAATATATTCGTTATTGTTGTTTTAAATCAAAACATTTAGAAAATTTCCAATTTAACCAACATCAAACATCAAATATCAACAAACAAAAACATAAAACCTCGTTTTAATTAAAAATATGTACAAAATACCTGTTAAATATCGTTCATTTCACAAACCCCTCAGGGGTCAAACATTTTACAATCCAAACCTCAAACTTGAAACACAAAACACACACTGCCAAAAAAATAACGTATTCAAATTCGTAATACGAGCAAAAGCTCGCACTAACAACCGTTCCCGTAGGCGGCCGGAGTTAAACTGATCAGGGGGGTGCGGTTAAAGCTCAAAGCTTTGGATATTTTTTCTTAATACTCTAGTATGTCGCAACATCACCTTTACCGTAATAAAAGCCTACACATGGGACATTTAATCCCACACTGAATGTCTAAATCAAATAATAAAAACACCGATTTGAACTTTCTATCCCATAGTCAAAAAGCTCCAAATGTTACTCTGAGCATATTCTAGTATACTATGGTTGAATTTATAGATTCATTCATTCACAATACAAAATAGATTACATACTTACTAATTTTGGAATTACCTTATTTGGCAATTATGGTTGAAAGAATATTCAACAAAAAATTATTCTATTCTAGGTCTAAACATGATACAGGTAACGCCATCTAGCGGTGTACAAACATTTTAGCAGAAATATCCCAAAGCATTATTTGATACATAAATTGTTACAAATGCAGATGTTTTGAACATTTCGAAGTTATTTACAAATATTTCTTTTTCTTTATGTAAATAAAATTGGAAAAGATTTGCGAGTGGCGCCCAACTGTTTCGCCTCGCAAGAGATAAAGTCAAATTTGGAGAACTGACCGCCAACCTTCGCTAGTCGGAGAGGCACCTTAACAAGAAGATATCTAAATATTTATTATAAAATTAATTCAGACGCGTAGAGGCTTATTTATATTTATTTATAAAGCAAAATAAATTCAGTATCGATAATCTTCTTAGATATTCCGTAAGCAACCCGCCAAAACACTAACTCAACGAATATCTAAAACCCTTCTAGCTGTGGACTAGTGAAATGTAGCCAAGTGTGTGCACAGAATTCTAATGTGTTTGGACTTTTTTGCCTTTAGTTGAAGTTCTTGTTTTCATTTCAATTACCTAATACTAAGCATAGATATATTAAATAAGTATTATAAAAGGGATAAATAGTAAAGTAATCCATTTTTAAATGTTTTTTCAAGTGTAGTTACTCAAAAAGTTAATTTAATTTTTCATTAAAAATGTTGAACACTTAAAACTGATAGTGTGTAACTAGCTTTAGATTTTTTTATAATATAAGGTGGCAAACAAGCAAGCGGCCACCTGAATCCACCGAAATGGAGAGCGACCGCCGCCCATAAACATCCACAATTGTAGATGCGTTGCCTACCCTTCATTATCGGAGGAGACGCACATAAAGAGGATATTTCTCTTCTTACGCGTTTCCTCCGCCATCAAATCCATTTTTCCTCCCCATCCTTCCCTCTTAAGAAAAGGATGGAAAGGAAAAGGGACTAAAATTAGACTTCCTGCACCACACTCATAAGACGAAACACGGAATTGCTTCCACTTCACGTCTGTTTTCTGTGTGGTCGTGGTATTACACCAGGTGAGCCGGCCCTGCAGTGCGAAGATGTTAAAGCGGTTTCTACCACTGTTCCAGATTTACAATAGGAAATATTTTTAAACAATAATTAATTTATTTAACATAACACTTTAATAGTCCATCAAATTATCTGTAAATCCGCACTAATTGATAAAAAAACCATAAACCATTTTTGCCGTTTTTACTTTAGCTGTTAAAAGGTTTCCGCGAACTAAAAAAACAAAACAACTTCGCTCCGGTTTACGGGATTAAGTCGAAGTTGTTAATGCTTGGAACATTGGAGGCTTGCCAACTTAGACCCGGGACTATGTCTCAATTAATGCCTCTGAAGTTCAAATTCAAATCGACTTAATTGGACATCTTTCGGTCGAACAATGACTACACTCGATTTACAATAATCGAGGTTAACTTTAATGCTCTAGGTCATGCACGTGGCTTTGTCTGTGATCTCGAGTACTTTATCGTTTTAGAATATAGGAAAATTATATGCAGTTTGTTTTAGGTTATTTTGCAAGTACTTTTGGCATTAAGCCTTATTTTATTATTCTTATAAGAATAATTAGGAAGGAAAGTGGATAATGTTGGCGGTAGAGGTGACGCAAAGGAAGGGGAAATATCCTCTTTCTCTTTGTCTTCTTTTCTGTTGATTAGGGGTTGGCTTAAATCTGCAAATGCAGTTGTCTAAGGGCGGTCACTTCGCTATTGTGGCGAATTCCAGTGTCCGCTTGCTCATTTGTCACTATAAGAATAAATTATACAGTATAACTCTTGCGACTTCGTCCGCGTGGTATTAAAAAACAGACGAACTATGTAAATAACGTATCCCTTGGGAACCGGACATTTTTCGGGGATGAACCTTATCCCATGTGTACTCCGGACTTTGTTTAATATCTGTGCTAAATTTCAATAAGATATGTTGAATCATAGCAGAATTATCGAGTAAACATTAAAATACAAAATTAATAGAATTATTTATTATTAGAACCATAATTATTTCCGGGATAAAAAGTAGCCTATGTGTTCATCCATTTAGGCTACAAACTCTAACAAACATCCATCCCTCCATCCATCTAAACATTTGCGTTTATAATATTAGTATGATTAGTATGAAGTATGATATGCTTGTGTATGAAAGTTGCGGGAGTGAAAGCCTACTGTAAAGTTTATTCCAACTCAAGTCTTATAAAAAGCGCCTCTTATTTTAATCCTTCAAATCTATATATCGTATTATATAGCAAATATTAGACGTTTAACTAAGTCTGTCTGGAAATTTCCATTTGAGCACTTCGTGAAGGAGACTTAAAGGTCTTACAAAGAACTCGGTTATCTAGATGTGTCTACATATACTTTAGTATTTTAACATTTATTCCACATTAAATATTATAACGGTAAACATAACCTTACAATTTGTACTTAAAAATTGTTATCTTTTGTGTACAAAGTTTATTTATATAAAAAAAAGAATCGAAAAAAATTTCAACTAAAATTGTAACAGTTATTTTAAATATTGTCCCTTCGCTTTCATTCTTTCGCTGTCTTTTTACTTAAATCAACATATCGTATCCAAATTAACATACTGTCTCAAAAATATATACCTACAGCCTTTTTTCTTTGTTTTTCCTTCTTATTTCAATATTTAACTCAAAGTTCAATATAAATTGCTCCTTCCAGTTGTTTAACATCAACGTTTATGATGATCTCACACTTTTCGCACATATTTCTTATCTCGTAGCATAAAAATGGCTTATACTGACAAAGTAACGCCATCCCCCTACCTTTCACCCCCTCCCTCTTACAATAAAGGTCTTAATTTTCTATTTAAGACGCTTTAGCTATGCAATTTATTAACTATTTATTTGCACATCGTTACTTAAAAATTAATAGGTGCCCGTGGCTTTGTGTTAATTTCAACGGATTCAAAAAAAACATTCCATACTATTTTCTACATATGTGTCAAAGGAGTTGTACAAAATTGGACCTTTTTTCGCAACAATTACAAGGAAAACTTTTATATACAAAATATGAAGAACCAAAAGAGAAAAATGAAACATTTTCTTTCTGAACCGCCTTTTTTAAATTGATTTCATAAATGTTCTTAAATTCTGCGAATTTACTTAACTAATGACAGTGGACGTTTTATTATAACAAAGTAATACCGTTTTTAACTTTGGATCTAGTCCAGTTCAGTCGCTAGTCATTTATTTATGCATATATAAAAGAAATTCGCAAAAGATGATTTTAATTCTAGCTGTACATTATTACTAGTGCTGCTGTTGTTAGTTTACAAAACCACCTCCCATACAAAATATACATAAGTCCTTTCATCGAGATAAGTTAAGCCATGAAGATTAGTAACTAACATCCATCTAGAATTATTCCCCCTTAACCGTTAAGTTTTTAAGTATATTGTAACTCGAAGTTTAATTTTAAAACAATTTGTGTAAGTAAACGTAACAACAAAGGGTTCAAGATCATGATATAACAAAACAGGGAACAAAGAATCTTACGTGTTACTTGCAATAAGAAAACGCACACAAAGTACGAGTGGAGTGCACGTAATGACGACGTGAAACGTAAAGGTTATTGTCGGTGGCCCTAACTACGAGTAGAGAGTTTGTCCACTGTTCACAACACGGGATTTGTCGGCTTTCTTTTCCTTTAAAAAAATTATTAGATCTTTTTTAATCTACACAGCAATTACAGCATTTTGAATGGTTTTATTTTTAATAAAAAGCCCTACACTTCCGTCATGCTTTAGGCTATATATTTTAACGGCATTAAACTTAAGGTAAATATTTTGGATAAAACCCTAATGTGGGAAAGAGACCATAAGTTGCTGCCAACATCAAGGAAGCAACGCCGTCATCATGTCATTTTGACATTTGTAATTGATAATCTGACACATGTAAACAATAAAATAAAATTTTCGTCATTCCACGCGCATAAAGTCGCACGGGAACAGCTAGTTGAATTGTATAAACACAAACGTATATAAATGAAAATTAAAATCATATCTTGCTAATTGCATTTTAGCATGTACAGTTTTAATAATTAGAATGCCTATGTCCATCTGTTTAATGTCTAATTTGTGTCGTGTCGACAGACAATTGGACAACAGCACTAGTATGTACAGAGCAGCAAACACTTATAAACACTCGGAACACGTCGGAGTGTCTGTACCTTGGCGTAGTAGCGCATATCGCGCATTTCTTTACGGCGTGAGAGCGGCCGCAAGCACTACGTAAGCGAACCAACGACGCCTTTCATACTGAAAAAAATGTGGTACAAGATAGAAGCTGATGACCAAATGCGTGAATGTCCCCATCGAAGAGTTCGAATTTTGCCCATAAATTTAATGTGGGTTGACTTCACACATATCTTTGAATTTCTTTACAAGAATATCTGGATAAATTAATTATTGTCAAAATACATGGGATTGAACCGGAAGGTTTATTTTTAACAAATCTTATATCTTTGAAAAGTTCTTCGCAATAAAGTTTTTGAATGTTGCAATTTTTTTAGCTGGTAACTGTTGACTAGTTTTCCTATAATAAACCTTACTTTAAATTTTAATTATTACTTTTAATTCCTTATATAAATTCTCATTTTTATTATTACTTCTGGAACTTTGTTAC